GGGAAAATCAGGAATTCAGTTTTGGACTTGTAAGCATGAAATGCCTACTAACATCCAAGTTAAAAGGTTAAGTAGGTAGATGGATACACACACAGCTCTATACTCCAGGAGAAGGGCTGGGCTTCAGACAAATAATGGGGGGGGAGGGTCACTAGCCTATAGATTTTTTAAACTTTTTATTATGGAAAATTCCAAACAACAACAACAAAAAAAAAACCCCAGAAGGAACAGTACAAGGAACCCCTAGGTACACATCACCCAGATCTAGCTGTTAACAACTCATGGTCAATCTTGTCTATCTCCCAGGATTACTTTGAAGCAAATTCTAGAAATCATTCATGCAGATTGTATTTCAAGCCATGGGTTGGGAGAGGGTGACAGAGAGAAACAGAAGATAGAGAGGAATGGGCACATGTTTCGAGGTCAAGAGAAGAGATGCCACAAAAGAACAGCCAATGAGATAGGCACAAAACCAGAGATTCATGGCCTGGGAGCCAAGGGAAGAAAGCGCTTCGAGGGAAAGGGTCCGACCAGATGTGCCCAACTGCCGGAGCTACCAGGACCGAGACAAAGAAGCCAGGGCTAGATTTAGAAACATGGTGGTCACGGCTGGCTTCGTCAAGACCACTTTCACCCAGAGATGGGGGGAATCAAGAGAGGAAGTGAAGTCTGCAAGGACCAAAGACTCTCTGGGGACAGAGAAAGGGGCAGGAACAGGAAGGGTTGGAGTCAAAGAAGACAGAAAGAACAGCACATGGAAGCAATCCAGTAGAAAGGGCGCACAACTGGCAATGCCAGGGGGAGAGGGAAGTTCTGTGAGAGCAGTAATGCCCTGAATGTGGGAAGGGGTGGGGACGGAGTGTGAGCTGCCCTCCACCAGGACCAGGAATGGTTCATGCTGGAGGAAGGCAGAGAATACAGTGCAGCACAACTTCCTTTAATTCTTTTTATTTTGGGGGCGTCTGGGTGGCTCGGTCGGTTGAGCATCCGACTTTGGCTCAGGTCATGATCTCACAGTTCGTGAGTTCGAGCCCTGCCTTGGGCTCTGTACTGACAGCTCTGAGCCTGAAGCCTGCTTCGGATTCTGTTTCTCTCTCTCTCTCTCTCTCTCAAAATAAACATTAAAAAAATTCTTTTTATTTTGTATTTTATAACATATATAATGTATTATTATGGCAACAGCATACTGTATAGAAATTATAAACACATAGACACAGCGATCCGTTCAAAAATTTTAACCAACACAGCCATACGATCAAAATAATTAAAGACTGCTTAATTGGAAATAATAAAAAAGTATTCTCAAACTCTAACCTATGAATCCTTCAGTGACAGGAATTATATATATCATGGTATATTTAATATACTCTGTACTATTATCTTAAGTATACGATAAAATACCTAGGAGAGGTGAAAGAATACCAGTCTTTATATCTGGGAATACATTTAATTTATTAACGAAGATTTTTTTCTTAAAGGCTCAGATGCTAATTCGTGAACCGCAGCGTAGCTGCATCCAAACTGCAAATGGAAGAAAAAAATACAAGAATCACAGACCGTTCTCAAAATCAGAGGGTCACAGGGACCCAACACAGGTCTGATTATTACTTACACAGAGAGATGCACATAAGTTAATAGCTTTATTAGCAAGACAGACCCGAACAGTAGCATCAGAGTCTGCTTCTCAGACAGCAAGGCCAGCCAGGACTCAACTGTGCGGCCAAGAAGAGAAAACTGGGAAAGTGAACCTACCTAGGCAGGTGACCTCATCAGGCTGGACGGAAGTCCCCAAGCAGCCTGACCTTCACAGAGTCACAGAAACAGCCAACCTGCTCAAAGAACGTGTCGGCACCACTTGGTATCTGCTGAGCCCTTCAACGTCTCGGAGCACCTTTCAGATGTTTCATTCAGCCTCTCTACTACCCCCCAGGGAAAGCAGCCTCTCCATTTTAACTTGCTTAGAGATAAAGACTCAAGGCCACAAGTGTTCACGGATCCACGCCAAGTCCGTCGGCGATACTCCTAGACTCCCGGTCACATGGCTATGAAAGATGCCTCCCACAGGAAACAGACCCGACTTCTTGAATAGTTCTAGAAGCACTTCTTATCAGCCACATAAGTGACCACACAAGAACACGAATACCAAGCCCTAGAACACAGCAGATCTGACAGCACACAAGTGACCTCGTGGTCACCCAACTCAGCTGGGGTGAACACGTGGGGCAAGAGACAACAGGTGGACCCAAACCGCTCTCATGTGGTTGGACTGTAAGCTCCCAGGACGCTCTCTTTCCACAGCTGCATGCTCAGAGCCCGGCAGAGCGCCTGGCACGAAGCAGGCTGTCCAGAAGCACTTACTGAAGGAGGGAATAAATGACTAGTTATATTAAACCACAAAGACAAAAAGACAAGAAGAATAATGAAGTACGCTCAGGAATCACAACACGGTTCAACAGAACTCAGGAAAGCTGTTGATGGCAGCTGAAGGGAGACAGAGCAGGGCAGCTAAATAAATCTAAAAGGCAGAACTGCAAAACATAAATTATTTTAAGCATGCCCATAATCTTTATTAACAGACAACGTGAGATTAATCATCAACTAAATGAGATGTGTGGATCTTGTTTGGAACTGGATTCAAACAAAACTGTTAAAACCCGAAGACAGCAGGGGAAACGCAAACACGCCCGGGGGGGGGGGGGGGGGGAGACCGGTGATATTTCAGGGGGATACGACGACTGGGTTATGCTTTAAGAGAGCCACACTGGAGAATTTATGGATGGAACATGATGTTTGGGATCTGCTGTAAAAACAAAACAAAACAACAACAAATATATATATATATATATATATATATATATATATATATATACACACACACACACACACACACGAGAGAAATAAAGAATAGGTGGGTGGGGTACAAATAAAATCAGGCTACATGTTGATTACGTGTTAAAGCTGAGTGACAGGAACGTGGGATGTTCTCACACTAGCTGTATCTTCACATACGTGTGCAATTTCCATAGTAAGAATTTTAGAGGGTAACCATCATCTCAAACTACAGCTAATTTCCCCACATCTGCCCCACTGCAGAGAAATGTGGTATCATGGGGGTCGTACCCGGACACGGTCTTTTGAAGGGCCACAGAATGGGGCTGAGACGTGTCTTTTCTGTCACTGCCATCGTGTGCATCTGGGACTCACCTGCTTCAGCTCTGCTTTCACCCTGGGCCTGGAGACTCGGCCGTGCTTTCTCTCACAGTTCCTACTCTCCCTCCCCAGTCTTCCCCTTCCCTGCCACTGGCTGGTTCTCCTCCCCCCCCCCCCCCGCCCCCCCAGCCCTCTGCTTTCTCCGATGGTGTGGGCTGCCGCTGTCCTGCCACCTTGTCCTAGGTCATTCTCTTCCCTTCCCATGGTCCCCTAAGGCCCAAGGATTCCCATTCCCACAGGGCGTTCCCTCTTTCCTTAACTGCACCCACACCACCAGGAGGCCCAGGAACATCCCGTCTTCCCCCAAACTGGCCACGCTCGCTGCTGTGAGCTCCCCTCTTCCTCCACTTGCCTACTCAGATACCTCCCGCACACTTCCGGGACGCACCAAATCAGGACGGGTCAACCAATTAAGCACGTGCACACCTACAAGTGTGTCAAGCACGGTACCCCACGCCAGGATGACGGCAATGAACAAGACAGATACGGATACGCTCTCTAGAAGCCTAGATTCCAGTGCAGATCATATTGAAATGGGTTCAACGGTCCCTGTGCCTTTCAGACCAGACTGTGAATCCTTTCTTTGCCTTGGCAGCCTCTGAGCTTCATACAGTGCCCCACGCGTAACAGACCCTTAATAAATATCTGGTAAACAAATATTTCCCCAAGTCAGTGCACCAGTGTCAACATCGGGTCAAGTCCAAGCAGGACAGGGTCACCCTAAGCTCTACAAATGAAAGGTGTTTAGAGAGGGCTTTTGACGAGGACCCTTTCTTTTTTTCTTTCTTGGGGGGATGAGAACAGTCAGAGAGCCAGCCTCTGGGGACAATGTGCGGAGGGAGGTGTGAAGGAAGACTCCCAGGGCCAGGCTTACCAGTACCGGCTAAAAGCAGCTCTGAGTGTGCTCAGCTTCTGGCTTGCTATTCTGGGTTGTCTGCTCCCTCCTCCCACTGCCAGCCTCCTCCCTTCCAGCTGCAATGGGAATAAACCTCAGTCACCCCCACCCCCCAACGCCGTTCCCAGGACATGGTTTCCTCTGGCCACGAGAGTGTCTCACTTCCTATCCCAACACAGACCAGCAGTGATGCAACTGCTGTGCGGCTGTCCTGTAGTAGGGAGGGGGGAGGGGGGTGGCTTGTCCTGTTCCTAACCAAGAATTTCACCAAGACTCTGGTTTGAGGACCGGGTCAAAAGGGTGGAAACCTGGACACAAGAGGACACCGTAAGTGTTGGCCGCAAGAGCCCTGAATACTAATTCCGGACCCAAGCCAGCACAGATGCACACCCTACGAACCCCAAGCCAGAGGGCCTTGTTCTGACAGAGTGGATGAGTGCCAGGCTCAGGCAGACAAACTAGGCTGGGCTGCAGGCTCTCTGCAAATGCATCTCTAAGGGCCCTGGCACTACAAGGGGCTGTGAGGCTGGAGGTGACAAATCAAAGGCATCGAGGGAAATATGAAATATGAAAATGAAAGAGATTTCCCAGATACAGGGTGGCTATCTTCGGGTTGATTCCAGTAATCTACTATCTCAACTGCCATATCATCCTCTCATGGGATAACACAGTAAGGCCCGATGCAGAATCTTCAAGAACCACAGGACTCTGAAATGGCCACAATTAAGCATCTCAGTGGAGATCTAAGCACTTTGTTGGTCTACGGCACAGTTTTTCGTAGAGGGCAGGACAGTGTATTTCGGGACTGCGGGTCATATGGTTTTTGTTGCACCACTCAACTATACCAACCTAGCGGGAAAGCAGCCATAGATGATACATAAACAATGGGCGCGTCTGGGTTCCAATAAAACTTTATTTACAAAAGCAGGCATCTGACCTATGGGCTGTAGCCTGCCAACTGCTTGGTGACTGGGAAAACCTGCTCTTCCCGCATTTCCACATTCCCAAGATGGACAAGGGCCACACTCCCTCTGGAGGGCGCCCACCCACTTTGGAGACAGGGGTCTACCCTAGAGAGCAGGCCTCCATTTCTGCTACTCCTTCCCACAAAGCATCAGAGAAATCTGCGCAGCTCGGTCAAAACGCCTGCCCGGCACCAGAAACCTGGGCAGAGGTGGAGAAAGCTTCGGATGTCAAATCCGAAGGCTTTGGACATGGAAGAAACCAGACCGCTCAGACTAGGCACTAAGTCCTGGAAACGGAAGAGCCTCACCCGAGACCACGTAGCTGGCAGAAGCCTCCTGACGCTCTGTGCAGTGCTCTTACTCCTCTAGAGTGATGACTGGGAAGGAACCAGAACAAACAGTCTTGCTGGTGGAGGCTAATTAAAGACCCATGGCTCGTGGCTATAGCAGGCACAACTTGGGGCCTCTCAGTAATCTATAAGTGAATGGCACAGCAAAGGTCAAGGAGAACGAGTGGAGAAATAAGCGTATATATCTATCTTTCCAGGACATAGCCTCCTGGACATAGTTACTAGGGAGAAGGAAACTTAAACAGAAACCTGAACTTCAAAAAGGGGTGTGGTTTGATAGAAGACGTGTGTGTTCATTAGCAGAAACAGGTCCAGCAGTCTGGGCGGGCGCTGGGATCATAAACAGGTACAAGATATACAGCCTCGCCCAATTCTAGGCCGATGCCCAGGGCCCTGGGCTCACTCTCCCTGCATACGTTCTCAGCGACCTACACCTTCGAGGCTTGGTAATGCAATTCCCTATAAGTTCTTTTCCCAGAATTGGCTTCCACTGCAAACTTTATTTGCCTGACCATAAACATTTCAATTTGGACGGCCGTGGTCTTGAAGGCAGGTTGCCTAACATCAAATCAAACGTGATGTTCCTGTAAAGAAGCCTGAATCCGGGTTTTTCTGTCAATCGCTAAGGCTCAAAATTTTAGCACCTTCTCCCCACGACCTAGCCACAAGCCAAAGTGGCTCTCTGAAAGACTCTTCCCTCTGCATTCCCTCAGGCTCCACCCTAATCCATCACTTCCAGTCTGGAACACCACGAGTCTCCTCACCTGGAGTCCCAGATTCCAGGCTTGTAACAAAGCCAGGCTGATCTTCCCCTATATACCCACCACCTTCCTCCTATCCACTGCAATTTCTCCAAGGTCAAGGGCCAGTCCTGTCTTCCCAGCTCCCAGAACCTTACCGAACGTGGTAGGAACCCAGTCCCTGCTAAATGAATGAACCCTGGTTTTCATCGGGAGCTGAGACCCCAAAAAAGACCTTGAGGCCCTTCTATTCCCTATTTATGGGAAGCCTAGGCTGCTAGGCTCTGCGGGCCCTCACCCACTATTCCCACCCCCAGGTCCTACCACCCCAGAAACAAGCGCCATCTAGCTGATCAGTGCCCGACCCTCCTCGTGCGCCAGTCATTCCTGCATCCACGTCTCTGCCCACGCTCTGCTCGCCCTGCCCTGCAATGACGTCCGTGCCCTTCCCCCTCCTTCCACTCCAACTCCTGCGCAACTGCCGAGCTCTGGGGGAGATAAGGGATGCTGGAAGGGGCAAGATGATTAAAACACTGGGGAATGGGGGGCCTGATGGGGATACACTGGGGTCTCTGATCCCTGGAGCCATCAACCTCCCAATGGGTCGCAGGCGATTAGAGAAGGAAGAGGCGGGAGGAGGAGCTAGATTTTTCCACTGAACGAAAGGCATGATTTTCATCACTGCTTCTGTTGCCCTGGTAACCAGGGACAGCCCAGTGGAGAGTACAGTAAAAGAACACCATGTTTATCTTTGCTGTCTGATCCACTTCCCTGTACACCCTTCCCTGACCATCCCCTAGCTCCTAGGCCTGCTCCAAATTTCTCCTAAGGCCACTACCATCCTTCTAGTCACTTCTGCTCATAAACCTCAAAGCAGAGTTAATCTCTGCCTCTCTCTATCCAACCCTAGGTACTGCGTATTCTTCTGTCACATCCTAGGGGTCATCTCACCACACCCATCGGCCATGCCAGGGGGCCCCAAGAACCAATGCTGACCTCAAAACGCAAGAAGGGCATCCACTCCACCAGACAGTTCTCTGGACAAGGGGGCCTAGAGAAGCAAGAAGGTGAGGAGGCCGCCCAGTCAACTCCTCTTTCTGAGCCCCAGACAGCTGGTGTGCATGGGTCCCAGTTCTCCCATCCCTCCCTCCTACGCCAGGGATCGGGAGGAGGAGCCAAGTGGAGGAGAAGGTCCACCCCGAAGCTTCCACAGATCCTGCCTCCCACAGGGACACAGTGTCGGCGTGACCCGAGAGCGGAGACACAGCGCTTGCCCTGGGAGATTATATAAGCGTTATATAACATGGTGGCACCAATAAGCACATAGCCACAGTTGGTGAGTGCCAGGGACAGGCCAGGGGTGGAACCAAACCCAAGGGGCTGGAGGTAAAGGCTTTCACCACCAATGCCAAAGCTGGCTGCCCCGGCCCTGTCTATACCCGCTCCTTCCACCCCAGAGGACACAGAGAGAGACTTGCCTGGCTCTGCATTCTTCTTCCCACGCTGGGCAGCAGGGAGGGGCTGCAGCACCATCATCACTCACCCTGGCCCAGGGCAGCCTCCGTCTGTGTGGCCCAAGGTGCCGGGCTGTCCTTCCCACACGGGAGCAGCAAGGGGGCTGTGGTCCCCGGGGGCGGGGGGGGTGGCGCGTGAGCCAGCAGCCCCCTCCTCTCTGTCCTTGCACCAGAACGTGTTTGTTTGGGGAATAAGTGCTGCAGCAGCTCCAGGATTGGCTGGGCCAGCCGTCCCTCTGCTCTGTCATTTGCAGTTCCTCTAAAAAAAACAAAAAAAAAACCAAAACAAAAAAAACCAAAAAACAAAAACCCCCCCAAAAACCCCAAAACAAAACAAAAAAACAAAAACAAAAACAAAACAAAATAAACCGAAAGGGAAAGAAAAAAGAAATAAGCACATGTAGCAAACGCCAAATCCGGAATTTTGGTCTGTGGCTCTGAACAAAGCTGGAGGGGGGGGGGGGAGTCCTAAGGACATTACCCTGTTTCCCTACAGACCCCACCTCCCACCACTTATGAACACGGGCTGTAGGCCTGGAGACTTCCCCTCACCTCCCGCCCCCCAAAACCCCTATCTCTGGAGCTGACTCAGTTGCTGCAGCTCCTTCAACCGAGGGCTTCCTCACCAAACCCCCCACCACCCCGGCCTCTGCAGAGTGCTCAGAGTATGCGGCTCCCGGATATGCACGCGGGAGCCAGGCGGCCGGCTGGGGGCAGTTCGGGGCAGTTCGGGGCCAGGTGTTCATCAAACTCCTCCACCCTCACCACCTCACCCACTTTATTAATTTGGGGGGTGGGGTGGGGGGGCTGATCGGAGCCGGAGCCCAGTGGCACCTCCGGCAGCCTGCCCTCTCTCCCGAGCCATGCCTCTGGCCTTCCCGCCGCCTCCTCCACACGCACCTCCGCGCCCCCTGAGGAAGGGGGGAGAAAGAAATACGCATTAATATCACGAGCCTCGGCGCACCAGCCCTCGCCCCCTCAACCACCTGTCTCTGCGCTCTCCCTCCCCCACTGCCTTCCTCAACTCCGGGCGCCCCCTCTGCAGCAAAGGGGCACCACGCCCACTGCGGAGCGGAGAAACGCAAGGTGGGAGTGGGCAGGGGCTGCCGCGCCGGGGCCAGGGTGCTGCTCCGCCACCTCCCCCGCCCAGCCAGCCCTGGCCCCAGAGCCCGGGGGCCGACCGGGGCTGCTCGGGCCGCGATCCGCTCCTACCCACGCGGCCAGGGCAGCAGCACCCGGAGGCCGCGCCGCAGCGGGGGTGGGGCGCGAGCCGAGCACGGCCAGCCCACCCCCCCTCGCCCGGCATCGCCCCCGGGGACCCCCTCCCTGCCCCGGGGCCCTCGGACAGCGTCCGCAGGCCTGGCGCGCTGTGACTCCCCCCCCCCCCTCCACTCCCCGACACCCTGACGGGGTCCCGCTCTCACCTCCGGCCGGCCTCCTCCCTCCCGGGGGACCGCTCAGCCCACCTCGCAGCCCCCGAGCGCCCGGCGGGAGGCGCGCGATGCGCAGCCGCTGCGGACCCCGGCTCCGCCGCGGCCGCTTCCCGGGAGTGTGAGCTCAGCCCGCCCGCGCGCCCGCGCTTCCCACGCTCGGTGCCCGGCGCCGCGCCACCCAGCGGCCGCGGCGGGCACGGCACGCTCGCGTCCGGGAAAATCTGCCGCAGCCCTGCCGACGGGTTGGGAAATTCCCAGAATTTGACCGAAGCCTTGCTGTGGGGCGGTGCGGGCGGGGGGGGACCTGCGGGGCCCACTGACTGTCTCCAGATTTAGGGCGGAACGACTCCCCTCCCAGCCTGTCTCCAAAGGCGATTCAGAGTTTTTGCATGATTCCCGAATTCTTCCCCCCTGCTCCTCGGTCCTCGCCTCCTTTATTTCTCCTAGGGCAGTGGAGACCCTGGTGCCAGTGGTGACTGCTCTTGTAAAATGGGGGTGGGAAATCGGGGGGTGGCAAAGGGCAGGAAGCTCGTGAGGCTAGCATTCCAAGGCCTTCTTGGGCCTACAGAGAGATCCCAGGTATGCACCGGTCATTCCCAGCCGTGCTTGTTTCACACACACATACACACACACACACACACACACACACACACACACACACACACACGCCTCCAGCCCACCTGTGAATTCTAATTCGGGAGAATTAGAGTGCTGTTTTCTAAACTTTTCTCAGATCCAGCCCCTTCTGAGAATTGGAGGAGAGGTGTGGGCCCTCTCTCCAAAATAGTCCATGTGCATACATACGCAATTTTGGATAGTCAGGGCATTCGCAGACTTCTCAAAACGCCCTGAACATCAGTTTAAGAACCGTCTCTGCAGATACCCTAAGACAGCAGGATTTCCAGCTGGTGATTACCTGTACCCGCTGCCATCTTTGATCATGCTGTTTCCTCCTTTAGAATATCTCCTTTGCCCCCAATCTCACATTTCTGCCTATAGAAATTCCATCTTTCCTTTAAGACCCACTCGGATACCTTTTCCCCTGATTTTCCCCATTCAGAAGGAATGGCTTTCTGGGAGCATGTTCTTTATGACATTTATGGCCATTAATACTATCCACATGGATGGATCTGTAGTTATTTTCGTAGTTAGTTGTCTTCTTGGTCCTTCTAGATAGTAAACTCTTTTAAGATCAGTTTCCCCCTTGGCAACTACTAATATGCCTTATACGGTCTGCCCTTGACACACAACTCTTAAAAACCAAAGAAAAGGAAGTTGGGTTGAAGGAATAGAAGGCCCACAGGGAACCCAGGGAGATGAATCCTGTTACTCCAGAGGAACTGGATGCCGTTCCACCTCCTGAGGCTGCACCATCAACATATACCATGTGCACACCTCAGTGCCTGGCCAATGGAATTCTCAAGTTGGCAGGATCTTTTCACCCATTCCTCATCCTCTGGACAAGACAGTCATAATTTAGAGGTCCTTGGCAAAGTTGGGATACAAGTTCAGGCAGAGTATACCTGATAGAAAGCAGATATTCTACCCCTAATGTCCCCTTTTCCAATAAGGACACCACCATTCACCAGTCACACAAGCTAATGTCATCCTCGACTCTTTCCCCGCTTGCCTCTCTCCATGCACATTCCCCATCAATCACCACTTCTTGGTTTTGATTGCTAAATCTATTTCAAAGATTGCCCTTCTCTCCATCCTATGATCCCATCTGGAGCTCAGACCAGCATTATTTCTTGCCTGAATTTCTGCATGTGTCCCCATCTAGCTGGTCTACCTGCCTCCAGTCTTGCCCAACTCAGATCTAGTGTCCACATCCCAGCGAGAAAAATCTTCCTAGGTTCCCAATCGTTTCCCTGCTTAAAGCCTTAGGTAGCTCCACATTATCCTAAGGATAAAGTCCAAACTCCTCTACTCGCTTGCTAAGCGTTCAAAATCTGGACTCAGCTGACTTTCCAGTCTCTCTCTCATCACTTTCCCTCTTACCTTTTATGCTTCAGTAGTCCCAAACACCATGCCCTTTCCCACCTTGAGCTGAGAATGCCCTTCCCTGGCTTTTTATGAGGCTATGCCCTACTCACTCTTCAGATTTCCTTAAGGTCTCCTCCTATATCACCTGTCCTCGCTCTCCTTCTCACACAGTATTGTTCCTCACATATATGAGGTCTGCCTTCTCTGCCGCACTAGGAGCTCTGCAAAGTGTCCTCGCTACCTGACTCTATGTAGAAAGGCAACAAATATTTATTGAATGAATGAAAGCTTTGAACATGACACATACCCCAGAGGAGAGACTCTAGGGCAAATGCCATGGTGCTGCGTGGTCTGAAAGTCAGACGTGGTAGGGCCAGGCATTCTGCTTTTGAATAATAGCACCGCTCACTGTTTTCAAGTGAATTTCAATCCCTCTGTGTCTTTGATTTCCTCAACTGAAAAATAGGGATAATAATCCTGAGGGTGTTGAGGATCTAAAGGTTGGCAGAGATATATATGAAAGCACTCTGTAATTGTGAAGTTCTCTCTGTATATATAATAGTAGTGTTGTATTACTGCACTGGATCCTCGCAATAACGTTTGGGGGTAGGCAGCTGACATTTCCTATTTTGCATATGAGGAAACTGAAGGTGGATAATGTAAAGCAATTTGCCTAAGGTCACCTAGCTAGTTGTCAGGGAATAGAGGCTGGTCACTGGCTCCTAAGCCCAGGCTCTCTCCACACATCCATCACCACTGCCCCTCCCTCTCACCCACAAAGCAGAAAGCACTGTTGGGACACAGACCTATTGACATCCTGAGGATCAGGCAGGACAGTGTCACCGCTTACCGTTTCTGAAAGGGTTTCTTGGGGAGGGTTGCCGGTAGAAAGTGAGCTATACGACAAGTATTAGGGCAGGAAGGAGTGGGGTAGGGAGCAATTGGCCTTGAGGTTGACCCCGTACTCTCCATCTCTGGCCCTTCTGCCACTCTAGAGGGTTGTCCCAATTGACAGCCCCCCTTTACCACGCAGTTGGACCCCTGAGAGTTCTGAGGTCCCCCAAAGCTGGAAACCTTCCATCACCTCCATGTTTCCAATTCTGTCTGCGGTGCAAATATTTACTGAAGTCTCACTAAGTGCTTTGTCACTGCCTCGGGAAGACTGGCCGCGTGACTCAACCTCTCCGAGCCACAGTTTCCCCGCTCTGCAAAATGGGATTGGTAATAGCCTGTCACACGGCTTTTGTAAGGATGAAACAAGATAACCTAGCAGCTGCCGGTGGGCTGTTGCCAGTGGAGACACCTGCCTCCAACACCCCGCTCTGTGTCTGCTATTTTTCATTTGAGTGCATGGGGATGTCAGTTTGGTAACTAGGGGAGGGCGGAGGGGAGCAGAGACGCTGGAAAAGAGAGGGGAGGAGTAGGAAGGCCACAGTCCTCCCCACTGCGCCCCTCCTGGGACGCGGAGAGAGCTGTGAGGCTCAGAGCTTGTATGAACTGTTGAAGAAGACCTTGTCAGTCCCTAGGCCCTTTGAGTCAGCCTCAGTGATGGATGAGAGGCTTCTTCAGGCTCTGGGTGGGCAGGGGGCACAGACCACTGAGAGTCAGAACAGGAGAGGAAGAGCCGAACAACCGTCTTTTGGTGACCACAGCTGTGAGGGCTCCAATGAGGCTTCTTTTTGAGAACTCCTAGAAATAACTGTAGGGCATTCTAAGAACGTCAATGAAATCAGCAAACAAGATGTTGCAAGCATAAAGCACAGAAGGGGTGTGCCTGGCACATAGTAGGCACTCAACATGTGTTAATTCCCCAAGATGAGTACACTTGAGCATCAGGGGATAGAGTGCCGTGCTCCTGAGCCTCCGATAACGCTGCCTGCCTTTGCCCTAAGTAAGTGTGTTTCTCAACGTGTCCAGTGCCCCAGGGAACACCCAGTGGAGCTGCCCTTCACAGATCCCCTTGTGTGGTTATGGTGGTTTTTCTCTTTAAAGATTAAATCGTTTCTTCCCTTTCTGCTCAACAAAGACAACAGCCCTTTGGTTTTTGATAAACGTTCCTTTCTTACTAGCAGGTGGATTTGCCCCGGGCACTAAGCTGTGCTTTTAAAACACAGACTTGCCCAGCTGTTTGAATCTGCTACTTCCGTCTTTCTTACTTCTCTTATCTCCTGCCCCTGGGGCTGAGTTTTCTTTGCCTTGGCAGGCTGATAACGTGTGGAAGGGCGAGAACAGTTCTAATTAATAGACTAATTAGCGGTACAAGCCTTTAATAGCTGATTATAGGCGAGTCATTCCCCACCCCCCAAGTGATTGATTTATTTATTGCTGTTGTGCTGCATTATGGCAAAAGAGTCTGCTTCTAATTTGCTATTGGTTGCTTTAATGGGTCTTTTCCTTCTCTTTCTTTTCCTCCTTCCCTTTGCTAACGGTGGGAACAACGCAGAGCTGATGAGCAGCTCCGAACACACGAAAAGTGTGAGGATCCTGATGTCACCCCCATCTGGAGAGCTGAGAGCTAGAAAGGGAGTAGAAGGGGTGAGGAGAAAGGAGGCAAGAAAATCCTGCCAGTACTTGTAGGCTTGTCTCCCCAGGACCCTTACCTCGTGATCTCTACCCGCCCCCTTCTGTAGGCCATAACTCACCCAGGTCGACTGCATTTAAAAACAGCATGGAGGGGCGCCTGGGTGGTTCAGTGGGTGAAGCGTCTGACTCTTGGTTTCGACTCAGGTCATCTTCTCACGGTTCGTGGCATTGAGCCCCGTGTCAGGCTCTGTGCTGACAGTGCGGACACTGCTTGGGATTCTCTCTCTGCCCCTCCTTTGCACTCTTTCTCTCTCTCTCAAAATAAATAAATAAACGTTAAAAAGAAACAGCGTAGAGCTTAAAATAGTCCACTGAAATCCGGCTGCCTGGGTTCAAGCCTTGGCTCCGGGGG